TTTTTCCTTCTTAAAATAATGTTCTGATGATTTTCAATAGATCTTACAAAAGGCGACTATAAGTCTCAGTCATTTTTAACTACAGAAATGAAGGGTGATCATCTTATTCGATAGGATTCTGTAAGTTATTTTGTATTATTATTAGTTATAAAACCTGCTCGAAGAATAAATGGTACACCAGCCCAACGTTCATTATTAATTGAAAGAATAACTTGTGCATATGTTGGTGTTGTTGAATCTTTTGGTACACCTTTATCATCTAAATAGCCTTGTTGACGTTCGGGATCTTTTGAATCTTTATCACCAACATATTGTCCAATGACAACATCTTCAGGTTTAATTGGTAATACAGAACGTAAAACTTTGACTTTTTCATCACGTATATCTTCACCTTTGGTTGAATTTGGTTTTTCCATAGCAACAATTGATAATATTTGCATTAAATGATTTTGTATTACATCTCTTTACATAAAAAAATAAATAAAAAAATAAATTCTATGAAAATTTTTCGATAGAAAATTATGAATTCATATTTATCCTCAAGTAACGATATCAATTTATCAAAGGATTTAATCACAACAATTTCAAAATAAATTATCATCACAGTTATACTAACAAAGGAACATTTTTTGTACCGCCTAAAAACCATACTTTGAGCTACCGGAAATCTAAGCATACTATTGCATAGAGCTCGTTGAGTTGTATTTGAAACGCTGGTTGGAAGCTCTGGAACGGGCTCCTAGACGAATATGGTGCTTAATCTAGGAGCTGTGAAAACTTTATTTAATTACGTCTCAATACTTTGACTATTCTACTCTGAGGACGGAGCGAGCTAGCATAACCACTCTAATCGTTTTTAGTAATTGTTATTTATTTTGCCGTCTAATACGAGGGAATCTTCAGATGCTTCTCCGATGTTAATGAGTTTTTTTTTGTTATAGATACTGTTCAATACTCTAGTAAAAACTCTTAAAGGATTTCAGTTCCTACATCACTTTCTTCAAAAGTTATGAACATTTTAATTTTACCTCTATAGTGCATAACGTACAGTATAGCCTTAAATAGCACTACGATAAAAAATGAAATGTCTCCATATCAGTTCAATCAAATAGATTAATTTTTTTAGTTATTGGTAGAAGTTTATGAATGATTCTTTATTGATGCATGTACATAAAGAAAATTTTCAAAACTAGTCAGTTTTAACGCTGAATAGTATTTGCTTATCTTATCCACATGAAAATAAACTTCTATCAATAACCAAAAAAAATTAGTCCATTTATTTGAACTAATGCGGAGATATTTCAGTTTTTTTATCATAGTGCTATTTACGGCCCATACTGTATGTTATGCACTATAGAGGTAAAATTAAAATGTTCATAACTTTTGAAGAAAGTGATGTAGGAACTGAAATCCTCTAAGGATTTTTACTATAGCATTAAATAGTATCTATAGCAAAAAAAGAATTATTGAAGACATCTAAAAGGCTTCCCTCATAAGTCTTTCTCTCAATGAGAAAACATTGGGTATTAGTAAAATACGTTCTCACCCACTCTAAGCGCCGCTTTATTAGGAACCAGAGCTGAACATAGGACAGTAGGGCCAATCCTGTAGGGAGCTGCGGGTCCAAACTCGTGGTTTTTTCATCAATACCTGTCACTAGAGCCCGTTGGATCCGGATCCGTTTACCATTTGCTAGACCCGTATCCGGAACCGGATCCACTTGTTTAAAAAATGTTGGACCCGGACGGGTCCGGGTCTAGAAGAACTCGCATCTATCTATGCTCAGCTCTAGTAGGGATTTATAACAATCTATAGAGCGTGAAATTCTGAGTCTATTGAATCCAACTCTTAGCCGTTCGTTTTTTTTTCATACCGAATAATTCCAAATTCATCAAAATAACCACCTCGTCCTTGTGTTCCAATATCTTCTTTAAAAATAATAATAACTGCTGCAATAGAATCTCTATTCCAAACTCTTGATAAAATTTGATTTGCAAATCTAAGTACAATTATATTTTGTACCATTTCTTTTCCCAAATAATGATCAATACGATAAATTTCTTCTTCAGTAAAAAATTTACTTAAATGTGTTGATAATTTATTTGAACTTTCAAGATCTTTACCAAATGGTTTTTCAACAATTAAACGTAACCAACCAGGTCTAGAAAAATAAAAAAGAAAAAAGAAAAATTACAAATAATTAATAATAATAATTTCTCATACGATTTTGGTCGACAATGTAAACTAATTAATTCTGTTACAGATTCATAAACACTTGGTGGTAATGCTAAATAAAAAAGTCGATGTGCACTTTCTTGTTTTGATAATTTATTAGCTTCATTATTTAATTTTTCAAAATCTTCTTTATTATCATATGAACCATTAATATAAGAATTAATACTAACAAATTTTTCGAATATTTCATGTTCATCTTCTTGAACCTAAATTTTTATTTAGAATATATTTTTTATTTTTATTTTTTAATAAATCCTTTTTTATTTTATTTTACTTTCATAAATTTTTTAGCATTTTCAAAGATTTTTTCTATTGTTAATTGACTACGAGCGTAACCAATAATACGAATATGTTCAGGTAAAAATCCATCACGATAAAGCCACCTAAATAATAAAATTAAAAAGAAAAAAAAATTTACAAAAATTTTTACAAACCAAAGTGCTGGATAAATTTTCTTTTTAGCTAAATCACCCTAAATAAAAGAATTTAATTTAATTTAAATCAAAAATAACACATACGGATGCACCAAAAATAAAAAATATATGTGAATTTGATCGTCCACCTGAACCAATACGAGAAATTTCTGAACGTAAACGTTCAAAAATACAATCCGCTGCTTGTACAACTTGAGTAGTTAAATTTTGTGGATTTGTTTTATTTTTATCCATGAAAATATAATTGTAATTGTTATTAACAAGTATAATAGTAAGAAGAAAGAAAATAACTTTTAAATACGACACGATAAATACTGATTATTATTTTGCATTAACATGATGACAAATCAAAAAAAAACAATACCGACCAATGAATACAAAACAAACTAGAGAACAACTTCACATTTAAAGATGACATAACAATTTGCGACATCTTCTATTGAGTTTTTCTAATAGAATTTAACAAGATATTTCATTGGTCGAATAAATTGAAAATTATTTTTAATGATTTATTTATACATCAAAGGTACTATTATTGTTAACTAGTCGCTTAACAACGGATATAAAATGTACAATGATAATGGTATATCAGTCATGTAATTGTTTGTCTTCGATATTTGTTTGGTTTCTTTTTTAAGTAAATATATTGTATTAATTAATAGAAATTGTATGAATTGAAAAAAGGAACTTATTTATTGATTAGAAAACAATTTATTCTATATGTTGTATGATGATTCTTTGTTATCTTTTATCATATTATATGATAAATATTCATTGTCTGATATAAGTTAAACACATTTACTAAATATCATTACTGAGAATGACGATTATGGAGCTGTGGGTCCACGTTTTCGCGGACTCGGATCCAGACCTGAGGTTTTTTCCATCAATACCTGTCATCCTTCGTGTACATGAACTAGTAAACGATCAAGGTTTTAGCTATTCATTCGTTACTCTCAGAAAAAAAATTCAACGTACAGTTATATCTTATTGCTGGATTTCTCATCTGAGGAGCAGCGGGTTCACAAAAACGTGCAACTGAATCCGACAAAAAGTAAAAAGTTGAGCCTGGATCCGACTCTGTAAGGACCCGTAGCTCTCTAATGATGATAGTACTATTACATTTAATTCTTTGTTTTCTAAATAACTCATAGAAGTGTCTTAAAACTACATATAGACAGGGGTTTATACAGCGTAGCAGCGCCTTTCTGAAGATCGTATTGATCTTCTTGAAGTTTGTAGTTGTTGTATCATATACTACCATATGAATTGCCTAATTCGAGTTCAAATTTCAATTATACATTATAATTCAGATTGCGCGATCCTATAACTGCAGCAGAAATGCAAAAAAATAAATGGTTCCGAGTTGTAATTGTAATACAAATAATGATGTTAGTGTAGTAATTGATGTTTCACTTTTTTTATTTATTCAATTCGATCAGAACTGTGATATTGAATATTCACCTGTATAGAAGTGCTTTCTCCCCTGCGTAACTGATCTTTTATATGGGGTTTGCGACTAGAGTCCATCGAGTTCAAAAATTTCTAGACCTGGATCCGGCCAGATCAGGATTGGACCTGATGGGCTCTATCCATCTGTCATTTAACTTTGATTCTTTACAAACGTTTTTTTTCTAAATAAATTCTTTTACCATAGACATATGGAAAAATATTGACTCTTTCAGTTGATTATTAATTAAAAAGTAATTATATGAATATCTCTCTAATCAAACGAGAATAAAATTGAAAAATTTCCAGATAGGTTCTACCATATGTATTGCACATATGGTGAAATTTTCTGTAAGATTGGACTCTAAAAAACTTTCCCTTAAAAAATCGATTTTTCAGAAATTTTGAACTTCTCATTCGGTTCTAAGAACATTTTTTGTCGTACTGCGTCATATCGCTAACAACAAGTGAATCGATTTTTTTGAAAAATCTAAGAATGTTCAGAAAAAAAAATTTCGATAGAGATTTTCTAATCCCAGGAGTTGTCTACAGAATTTGTTTTGGATTAATTCGAAGCTTTTTTAAACTAAAATACACAAAATGAAAGTCGATGTCCTTTTTAATGTCAGTTTCTTTACTAATAACAAAGATCTCCAGTGTTGATTTTTTAAGAATAGTTCGAGTAACTTAACATATAAAAATTCGTTCTAGGAAAGTTTATTTTTTCAAGATACATGTATTTTAATTTGATGAAGTCACATTGCAAGCGAATGATTTTGTCCATATAATCTAATAGTATTTTATATAACATCTTCTATAGTTTTTTTTATCTATTTTTGAATAAGTCGTTTGTTTTTTTATACAGATTTGATATAAAATAAAATGAAAGTAACTAGTCGAACAAGCCGTCGTTATATTACTCCAACTATGAAAGATACATCTCGAACAATTTCTTCAACGAATGTCAAGCCGTGCAATATTCCATCTATGTAAGAATAAAGAAAAAAAATATTTATATAAAAAAAAATATTAATTTAAGTTCTCATTCTTCACCGAAAAAAATTCTTGATATATCAAGAGCAAAATTAAATGAAGCATTAACATTAAAAAAGTTTGTTAATTGAAATTTCTAATATTGATTTTTTTTTGGTTGTGTTTAGCTCTATCGATTGTTTTCATCATGATGAATTTCAAGTTCAATCAGAACATAATTCAATTAATTCAGATTTTTCATGGTTACATAATACAAAATTGTCATTGAATTTAGATGAATCAAAAAGTACGTCTTGTTTACATGAAAATCTTTCAGAATCAATTGAAGTAAATTGATCTTTTGTAATATTAACAAAATTGATTAAAAAATCTTAATTTCAGATGCTTCCATCAATTGATATTGATCGAGATTTAAATAAACGAGCATCTTTACTTCTCAATCAAACATTGAGTGCTTATTCATCTGATACAGGACATACATCAAATATAGATAATGATTCCACTAGAACAACAATTAATACTCGAATTGGTATGAATATATTTTTTTTGTGTCTAGTTAAAAAATAAAATATTTTTATTTTTTATAAGTTGAATATAAAATTAACAATGGTGAAGATGATATATTATATCAATGGCGTTTACGTCGTCGATTAGTACAAGCAAGCAATAATGAACCAATTAATTTTTCATCGAAAGTATTTATTCATTATTTTATAATAATTAATTTCAATATTTATTCTCTCATAGGTATCAAATCAAGCTAATATATCTTCAGTTCGTTCAATTATTCCTTCAAAACCAATTGAAATACCAACTATAACACCATCTCCAATTGTTTTACCATCATCACCAATAACAAATCATGAATCAATCATAACTCCAGTACCTATTCGACAATATTCCGAAGCATCGACTCAAACAATACAAGTAAATAACATTCTCCTAGACCTTTGTAATCGAGGGGAGAGGAGGAGAAGTAAATATTGACATCTTTATTAATATATCAGCTTGTAGAGTACAATATCTCTAATCCCATATGCAAAGAGAACATAAAATTCTGATCATCATTCATAGTTTTTGGCTTGTCTGAGATACTTTTAAGCAGATGAAAATAAGCAACCATTTGCACCAAAAACTTTCCGTCTAAACTCATTTTTTGGATCTTTCAAAAACTACCTCACTACTCTAAAGCAAAAACTGAGATGAAAATTTCTAAGACTATATTCGAAATGTGAACAATATGCTGGTCATAATCCTTAGAAACACTTTCAAGGTATCCAAATTGTAGGTGTCAATCGGTAGGATGGTGGTATTATTGATCTAACAGAGTCAGAATAGGACAAACATGGAAAAGTATCAAGTTTAGGCAAAACTCGACAGTATATATGTAGATATGGGCATGATGGTTTCGATCTCGGCGGGGCCGGGATCAAAAATGATTCGTTCCATTCATCACTAACGAAGGAACACACAAAACTGATCAATCCCTTTTAAGTCGGGTCTATATGCATCATGTAGGTCCTAGTGAGTTATGAATACCTTGAAAAGAGTTTGGGCCCATAGCTTACTACTGCTGAGATATTGCATTTTTAGAGTATGTTTTCGCTCAATCCTGTAGTCCTCCTCAGAAACACTCAGAAAACAGAGTTCCGAAGTTCGACTTGAAACTTTGCATAGAGATAGGTCTTAATGAGAATAGTTTATTATGAAAGTTTCAGATCTTTTCGTTGTTCCTACCTTAAGATATGACTAAGGTAACAGCATGTTGTTCACATCCCTGATACACTAGCAGATTCCGATGTTCTTATTTCAGAATAGAAGCAATGGAAAAGGCTGAAACTTTCACAATAAACTATTCTCACTAAGACCTATTTCTATGTAAAGTTTCAAGTCGAAATTCGGAACTCTATTATCTGGGTGTTCCTGAGGGAGACCACAGGATTGACCAGAAAATACTCTAAAAATGCAATATCTCAGCAGTAATAAGCTATGGGCCCGAACTCTTTTCAAGGTATTCATAGCTAACTAGGGCCTACATAATGCACATAGCCTTGGCTCAAAAGCAATTGATCAGTTCTGTGTGTTCTCTCGTCAGGAGGTTTCCAAGATAGTGAAGAATATTCTAGAAAAAGTGTTTAAAACAGACTTTCGATAAACTGTTAGAAAGGATGGAATCTTGTATAATTAATAATGGCGACTAATTTGAGTATTTAATAAAATAAAACTGAAAATATCTCTTTCTTTTTAAATTTTTATTTGATATTTTCAGAACTTTTTCTCAACCCTAGGTAGATAGTATAGTAATTCTAAATGCAAATATTTTCAAAATAATAAAATTTCAGAGCACACGTATATCAACTATAAATTTTGATTTATTTGGAATTTCTCTCATAGAATCACACTGACAAGTTTATTTTTCTCAATAATAAAAATAAAATTTATTTCTAGGATGCTTGTATTCAAACATCTTTAACTCTTTCAACAATACCAAGTATTTCTAATGAAATAGATCTTCTTCCAACACATGATGATGATGATGATGATGATGATGATCAACATTTATCTGTTTGTCATCGTCCACCAATTCGATCTAAATGTGAAATAACACAAATATTATCATCACCATTATCTATTAAACGACATCATCGTACTTTTCGTCCAGTTGTTCTTGTCGAACATAATAGTTTGAATACAATTCAATCTTCACAAGAAAGTACATTAACACAAGTTACATCCATTATGATTAATGACAATAATAATATGATTGCAATAAATGAAATACAAGGTTATTTATATTTTATAAAAAAAAAAATATAAATTTATTTTTAGATGATGGAGAAGTTGATGATGATATATTAAATATATTAAAACAAAAAAGAAATGAATTATTAATTCAATTTCGGTGAGAATGCAATTTTGAACTTTGTTGTTTTTTATTTACTAATTTTTGTTTATTTAGAGAAATTGAACGATGTTTAGCTAATATGATTTCTTAAATGTCAGATTGTTGTAATAAATTATATTAGAAAATAATTGTTAAAAATTTAAATAAATGTCAAGAATATACTAATCTTGTTGAAACGATATTATGTCAAGAAATAATAGACAAAAATAATATAAATAAGAAAGATTTTGCTACGAGGATGAACCTGATTGATAATCATTGGTGATATTTAACTAAGAAATAATCGTAGTTTCATTTCAAAGATTTGAATTCGAAAATTCATTAAAAGAATCTTGATAGGTTTTAAATGCAGCTGCAAATTTTATAAAAATTCCCACTATGTGAACATGAAGAACAATCTATTATGATATTAGAAGGTACTGAACTTTTTGGTAACCATATCAGCAAAATGAAGAGAAGTCTAGCTTCCCATTAAAGCCGGTCGGGTCCGAATCCAAAAACTCTTGGACTTGATGGGCTCTAGTGAAGATGCCGTTGTGCGTGTATATGTTAGTCTCTGAAAATGAAAAGAAGAGCCCCACACACTATGATAGTGTCGCCTTACTAGAATTCGTCGGGTGCAAAATTTTCGGACCCAATTGAACCGCATTTTGATGGTCTCAATGAAATTTTCGAATTAAAATTAGATAGTTGTCTCGAAGATATAAAACTCATACAACTGTTAACGTCGACAGATGACACTATGTCACCGCTAACTTTTAAGTAAACTATCCTTTGTTCATTTGTTCTTGTTGTCCTCTTTCATACAGTCTGTAGTCATCATTCCACTTTATATATATATAGGCGTGACTAGCTGACCTGAAGCTCCAATTTTTATTTGCTTATGTAGCTTCAACCAGATATTAGAAAAATGTGATTTTTTTTTACTATTATCGATATCAGAATCAAAAGTGGGTCGATGTCAGACGAGTATCTGGAGAACGGCAATAGCTAGCAATCTGTGGTTTTTATCGATCGAAAGAGGCTGAGTTAGGCTGGCATCCCACCGACAGTTCGTAGAAAAAGAGGAATTTCCTTTCTAGAAAAAAGAGGATTTTCAATAAAAAAGAGGAAAAAAAAGAGGCGCATGTTTTTAGTCTCCAAGATACGAACAAAGGCTTCCCCGAGGTTCAAAAGCGACAAATCTCAACGCCGTTAATCTGGATTCAATACAGACCCAAAAACTCGAAAGATAAAAGCGATTTTTTAGTTATTGACATTTGCGGTCCTGCTTTTTTTCTACTGAGCGCAGAGAAAAAGAACTAAAAAAGGCAAAAAGGACAGGACCTAATTCAAAGGTAGTTGACTGTGATATCACTTTATCTTGTTACTTGTAGACAAAGGAATAGAAGTTAAAAAGATCGTTTAATATCCAAAATCTGTTCAGTTTCTAATATTACAAGAGCAGAAATACCTAACAAAAACGGAAAAAGCAACAGTAAAACGTACATAACGATAAGATAAGAAAATATGTTAGATTCAGTCCAAAGCAAAAGTTAGGAAGTTTCTTTCTCAAATCTGTGGCCAGAATTCCCACTCTTGTCAGCAGCAGTTCTCTGTGAAAGCAGAACAATACCAATTTTAATCAATTCTATAGATTCGAAATAATTCGAAATTCAATTGAAATTGAGTAATATACAAGAACGAAAGTACGTGAAAAAACTTTTGATTCCAGAGTACACTATGGTTGAGTTTTGGCGATTTTTCATGAAATTCTACTAAAGGCAGGAAAATTTTACGTCTTTGCAGTTACATGATGAGGTGAGTTTTTACCGAAATTCGTGAGAGGTTACTACTAATTCTTCTTCGAGGCAACCAAAGGTGAAGAAGCTGCTAGTGAGTATGAACTGACATTTTGCGAAGATTTTCGCCTCTGGCAAAATTTTCAGAACTTTATTTGCTAAAATCGGATTTTGTTTTTGTGCTAACCCGCTGTGTCTTGTAAACGATTTCCTCATCCAAGCAAATATGGCCACTGTGATGGCATATTGGGCAGTTCTGGAGATGAAATTCTTGAATTTCAATTATCGAAATTTATGTTTAAGTTCATAATAGAAGCTGCCTTGGTAGTATACTCAAGCTTTATACACGACTGTTAGGAAAAAACCTATCTGAATGAGTTCAAACATCTAATTTTCAACGTTTTATATTTCGGCTTGTCCACGTAAAGTGTCACCTTCAATGACGGTAGTTTGAAAAATCAGATCTAAATATCACCAGTATTATCCGATATAATAAGAGAGGAAATGTGTAAAAGCTATTTGGGGTTTTCAGAACATGAGATTTAACCCGCATTTATTCACCATTGTGGATACCTTAATAACAGAAAAAAGGTTTTATTTTTACGATTTTCGTCATCGCGTTACAAAATCGTCATCGCATAATGTTAATGTAACCACAGTTTCACTATTAATGGAAGACGTTTTCGAAAAAACTTTTCTCACATAATGACTCCAAAGTGTTTACTACAAATCTACTATAAAATATTTTGTTCAAGATAATATACGTTTGGAGGAAAACAAAGAACAATTACAACATTCTCAAATTTTTGTTCCTTGTCCAACATCGCGTTATGATGTATATTTTTCCTATGCTTTTCAGAATGCTTTGCTAAATAAACTCAAATTTACCGGATTCCAAGAGTACATAAGGAGATACACCTTCTGATGAAAAAATCAAATTTCTAAGTGATTTTGTTGCTGAAAAAATTTGGAGACACTGGGAGAAAACGTCATCGCGTTACGTTCGAACAAGCCGATTAGTATGTAAATAAGTTTATCGCAACTTATTTTAATATTTCTAAATTTTAACCCAAATATTGGTTTTAGCTTATCCGATCAAAGTCCATGCCAAAAAATTTAACTAAAAAATGTTTCCGATTAGACTTAGCGCCTGTTTGATTCTGATAAGGTGTCGTAAAGGGTAGTTTTCACCGTTGTTATTCACCTTATTGGCTGAAAATATATTGATTCATCCAAATCGATCGACATTATCGACTATTATTCTTAAAAATCTAGTGTTTTTCTCAAAAAAGAGGAAAAAGAGGATTTATATCCGAAAAGAGGAGGTTCAGAAAAAATAGAGGAAAAAGAGGCGGAGTGGGAAGCCAGACATATGGTTAAAAAATGACACAAAGAGGTAATTGGAGTTACACTTAATATTGCTTATAGTCTATTCGTGAAGGAAATCAATATGATCCAATTTTATCATTTAAAACTATTGATAATAGAAGTTATTATTATCATCTTTCAGAACATGATAAGCAATACTATTTTGATTATACTGGTACGAGAAGTACACTTAATTGTCGATTAACAAATGTTTTAAAATTAATTTTGAATAGTCTTCGATATTGGATATTAGATATGCATATTGATGATTTCAGGTATATTTACATTTGAAATTGAAACAAACATTATTTTACTTGATTCTGAGTCAAAACTTGTCAAATTGGATCGAATTTCAGACTAACTGTAAGAACAATTTAAATTCAACAGGCTTTATTTTCTTTCTATAATAATGTGTTTAGAATTTTAAGAGTAATTCCAGATATTGGAAAACAATATTCTGCAGTTCAATATCTTCTTTCTTATTTTAAGAAATAGATTTTAGTTCTAGTTTAAATTTAGATTTGACTTAGTAGCAACACTTGTTCATGAATTTCATGCCTTAGATCATTTAAATCATGCATTTTTTGATAGAACTCATCAAGATTCAGTTATTTATTGTGTTCAATTATTTGTTGAACTATGAGATTTAGATGAAGATGGTTATCAAATAAGTAGATTTTCGCCAGATTGGGCAGAATGGAATGGAAAATTTCGTGATTGTATATGAGATTATTGCCGTGCTGAATCAAGTATAGTATCAGAATTTGCTAAACGTTTTGTTAGTATCTCAGATTTATATGGTGAAAAATGTTAAAGGCCAATAGTCTGAAATTCACGTTTCACAATGATCACTTCTATATTAGACTAAAATTCATCTGCCTTTATTAAGAAGACAGAAGGATAAAAATAAATTTTGTCGATTTATTTTAGTCAGTCATGCTAATGATGAATAATAAACTCGATAAACTTCTTTTTTCTCTTTCTTTTCTTTCTTTCGTTCTTCTTTTCATATCATACATAAAGAATTCTATCATACGTTATCCATGAGTGAAACCATTAATTTCTTGAAATATTTAATTCATTTTATTTTTTATCGATTTGGTTTGGAGGTAAGAAATTAAATCTTCTAGTTTTTCAAAAGATTTATCAACCATATTTACCAATATGTGTTTCTTTTGGTTTAGATATGTTATATAACAACAATACCCAGGTCCAATAAAACGGCGTCGTAAACGGCCTGAAACGGCTATAAAACGGCGATTAACGATGTAAAACGTCGATAAACGGCACCGTAATCCGTCATACCAGATTACGGAAGCAAAACCGGAAAAAAACGACCGCCGTTTTCTAGCGATAGACGGTGGTCGTAATACGGTATGACGGATTACGGCGAAATAAGGCCAAAATTACTGCAGTAATTCGCCGTTTTATAGTCGTTTCAGGCCGAATACGACGCCGTTTCCGACGGCCGGAATGATCCACCTGGGTAATTGTCATTAGTGTTCGTCTTGATGTAATGGCTTTGATTTATTCAATATGGCTTGGTATATTTTTAATTTCAAGTCGACGATTTATTCAACGAATATGACCTATTTATATATTCTTTCATATTATTGTCTTATCAGGACAATCTATACGTGCTGTTGGTGCACCACCATTTCTTTGCTTTGGTGATTAATTGTACATTTTTTAACACGAGATTTAAGTTTTTTAGATTGGAAGTGTCATTTAATATTATAGGGAAATAGAAATAATCTAAAAAAAGTTTCGATATCTCTGTTCTTATCTAATAAACAAAATATCGTAGTGTATTGTTATGATAAAAACAGATAGTAATAATAAGAAAAATTTGATTAGAGATCTAAATTTATTTTATATTAATGTTCGAAATGTCTAATAAAATTTTCAATCATTTATAGAATATTCCTGGATCAATGTTAGATTCAATGGTTGGCTTCATTTACTTGATTATATAGAACCATCAACAGCAACACAATTAATTGGTAATATTATATTTAATATAAAATTTTTTATATAGATATATTTAAATATTTTAGCTGATTTTTTTCAATTTTTATTTGCTTGTCAACAATGGCGTGTATTTTCATATGAAACAAATGAAAAAGCCTATATATATATTGAATTATGTGGATCAAATCGTGAAATAATTTATGATAATGATAGATACAAAAATAATCCAATAAAGGATTTTGTAACAAATCCAAGACATTGGCTTGATCAATTTAAATATGGTATATTTATGTATGGAGTATGGTTTGTTTTATTAATTGTTTATCTTGCTGGTACAATACGAATTAGTTCACTTGGGCTTGGTTATCTTATAGCATGTTTTTATTTGCTATTGTATGGTCAAAATTTGTTAACAAAAATTACAAATATGATAAAATTGTATGTTAATTATTATTAAATTTTTGTATTATTTTTAATTTTTATTTAGATGGAATTATTTAAGGGTGTGGGTGTGGGTGTGGGGTGTGGGTGTGGGGTGTGGGTGTGGGGTGTGGGTGTGGGTGTTTTTCCTCTTTAAACGCACACTCACATCCCCACACCCACCCACTCCACACCCACACGATAAGAAAGAAACCTCATGGACGTCAATTAACCGATGAAGACAAGAATTTCAATCGTGATACATAATAGTTCAAGAGCGGCTATTGAAAATATTAATCAACGTCTCAAAATTCATGCTGTTTTGAGTAGTGTTTACCAAGGAGCTATCGATGATTTTCATAAGATAACTAAAATTGCACAAGTTGTTTCTGCTCTATGTAATATGTATTTGAATAAATACCTCATTCGTAAATAAACAAGATGATAAGTTGTATTTTCTGAATAATTACTTGATAATAAAACTTTATAACTAATATTTTATGTTGATTCAAATTTCTTCGTAAGATCTGGTGTATGTTAACAAATTAGATGCGAACTACCTTTAACGACATGAGCATAAGAAAACGTTCGGCAACTCTTATTCATAGTAAGATATAGAGCTCAAACAATAATAGATCATTAGCAATGTATATGTACTATGACTAGTTAAAAATCACATTTTTCTGATATCTGACTGAAGCTACATAAGCAAGAAAAAGTTGGGGCTTCAGGGCGACTAGCTACGCTCATATATATATATATATATATATATATATATATATATACAGTTTTTCGCATGTTGAATTATATTCAACTGATTGTCTTCTTCTCTTTGGTTCAACTATACTCTTTTGATCTTGTTCTTTGACCTTTTCTTTTCTTGCCCAGTACGATGTTTGTTACCTTCATTATTATCCCATCATGTGTATATTTCTAATAAATAAGCTTATGAATCAAAAACCCACTCTTGCATCCCCATATTATTAATAATCAATAGTAAGGTAAGACATATTTAAGTAAGTTTTCTTGCTGTATACAGACCAGGTATTTTTTTACTAATTATACTTCGGCTTACATATATCACGTGGGCAGAAGTAATGGATAATTAGTGGAAAATCTCACAACGACTAGCGCTCATCAGATCGAAAATTTTCGAACTCGAACTCGATGAACTCTACTCTTTACTTCTTTATTCTCTATTTTTCTTTCATAACAAAGTATGTATGGCATTTCTGTGGGTATGCTATACAAGAACCTGAATGATACCACAATGTTCGTATCATATTTTTTTGCTTCGAATTAGATAGCGGTTTTGCTGCTTGTAATGACAATGCAAACTTTCTATATTATAGCGAGTATGATTAAGTTCTATGTTTTTTTTAGCATCTTTGTTGTTGCCGATCGTCAACATTTCTAATTCATTTTGTGGGTTTTCTTTTCATTGTATTCGTGTTGAAAAAGAACTTCTAATTATTCTTATTGAAATCTTGAAAAATTATAACTGATAACTCAGATGGATAATTAGGTGAGAAACCTTCGCGTATGATGTCTCCTATTATTGAAAGAAAAAATAGTTCTTCTATATCTCATCTTGTTCACTTTCTAGTCTTTTATGAAATAGTATATCATTGCTAGGTGACCTATTACAATGCTTATAAACGATCGTATACAGATTCATTACGGCCGAAAAATGTCAGACACCAACCTTTTATACGATGTATTTTATCGTAAACCTATCCCATGATCCAGGGTAGTATTTACGTCGTGTCCTATAAAATATATTTATAGTTAAAATAAGATTATTGTACGGCATCGTTTCGAGATCCTACATCATGGTAAACACATTATATGTTCCTTACTGTGCTCAGCAATCTGAGTTATAAACTATATTGCCGCTTGCGATTTTTCTACGACTAAAATAATATAACCATATATATCCATATCATATTTGAGTTTAAGTAAGGACTTTATGAAAGTCCTGACATCTGTCTCTAGCTATGATATTTTGCATAATTACATATGATCATTCAAATATCAAACGAAAACTAGCATTCATCTCTCTTATATGATTTTCATCATTAATGTAATATAATCGAGAATAGAACATGTCTGAATGCAGTGCTATTTTAAAAAGGATCCAAGGTCATGTAAACTCCTTTTTGCCGGGATAATCAAAAAAATTTCTTGAAGACGGGAGATCGTCTTTTCGCTCCTCTAAATTTACCACTGTCTTAAGTGTTGTGCAAGTGAACGACCATTCCTTTTTTTCTCTCTTGTCAAGATTTGAAATTTGTTTTTTCGAGCTTCCGCACTAGAGCCCATCGGGTTCGGGTCCAAAAAGTTTTGAAGCCGATGGTCTTCTCCCATAAAAGATTGATCAATTAGGTTCGAATCCAAAATTTTACCGACCCGGTCTGGATCTAGGTTCGAGTTCGGATCCAAAAATTCTTGGACCCGATGGGCTCTATTTGCCGCGTATGCCTTGCGCCCTTATGTTGCTAAGTTATTCCTAGTTTATATATGTCCAGTTTATGGGAAAAGTTAAAGCTTTTATCATTTAAAAATATTCTATTTTGCAAGAATTAGTTAATAAATGTCAAGTTTTTGAGTAATATAATGTGTGTTTGATTTATTTAAACGTTTGTGGCACACTGAACAGTACGGAAGAAAAACAATATAATTAATTTGACGAAATATCGAAAAATTAAATAAATTATTATAAATAATTCTTTTAAGTTCGATTCGCAAGAGTGATTCTAGAAATGTTAAATTATTTGCTGTTTATCAAATCTATCAATTACATAGGCAAGAATATTCTCGATTTTTTATTTCAATAAATTATTGCTTTATATTTTTGTTACATGATTTTATTTAATGAGAAACAAGACTATCAAATTTTTTATTACTTATAAAACAGTCGTAAACTACTTAGATAAAAATAGTAACATATCAAGATACGAAAAATAAAAACGTTATCTATTTTCATCTAATCTTAAAAATATCTAACTATAAATAAGAATATATTTCTATTATAGTTTATGTATCAGAAGATACAAATTACAAATAAAGATTAAACGATGAATCTATAGTAATTTGATATTTCGACGTTTTATAATTCAAACATCGAAAATATCAAAATGATTCTTTAACTACAATTTCTATCTTTCGAACATTGCTTAGATAATCTTTTTTTGTTATATTATTATCGCTGAAATAAAATGTATTATTTTTTTTTCTCAAAGAACGTTATTAAAATAATTAATAACACATGAATAGAAAAAAAAAGAGAAACAGATAAAATACCTAAGCTAAGTACAGCTTCTTAAAAAACTGAGCGAGAAAATAAAATGAAGCGCATGCACATAAAATAAAAAAGAACCTTTTTTAATATATGTGAAAATATAGACAAAAAAAAAACGACACACATACATGTTAATAGGAATATTTACATGGAAAAGAAAAAGCGTATACGATTATTCCAGTAAAAGAGTTCGTATTTGTTTCTATAGGCTCAAACAAATCACTAAACTACCTACTAAAGAAATAAAAATAACAAACATATTAAAATTTTGTTTTTGTCCAGCATTCCAAAAGTAACCACCATAATTGCCGCCGCCTCCCCATGATGGATTATAATTTGATGAATAACCAGGACGATTATAATTACTTCCACTATTATAACCTGAATAATAACCATATGAACCAGGATTTTGATTGTAATAGGAACCATAATGTCCTATTGATTGTCCAGATTGACCATCTAAATAAAAACTTAAGAAAATAAATTTATTTTAATTATTATTATAAATTCTTACATTGTCCATATCCATATTGATAAGGACCAACACCTGCACCAGCATATGGATAATTTGTACCTTGAATAGTTCCATAACCATATGGACCTTGATGTGAATAATACTGTCGACTACCTGTTTTTCCTGATACAATTTCATTTTGATTATCATTTTGTAGAGAAGATTGTTCATAAGCATTGAGAATTTTAGGATTTGGTGGTAATCGTTTTTGATTAATAGAATTAGATATTTGATCTAAAGTTTGTCGTCGACGACGGCGAGCTCGATTTCCATCGATGACTTGAAATATAAAGAAAATTCATCAGTAAACAATATTAAACTTATTTCCATATAGATTCAATAATGTACATATACTTGAATATGCTCTATTAAATAATATAGTTTTATGATTATATTCTCTCATGAAAAAAGGTCATTGTCAATGTGTTGTTATACACACATACGAACGTACTTATTCATTATTGATCCTCATGTAACATTTGCTTCATCTTCTTTCAATGAATGCTATTTACCTAACGGCAACTTGAATAGAAGATCTATTAGTTTTCTTTATTCCTCTTTTTTGAATATCCGCAAGTATTGATTTTTATTTTTTTTAACAAGTTAATCGGATAAAATTTTTTGTCTTGTGTTTTTTTTTGCGAGTTTGATATGTATTTTATATTATTGAAATATAGTCAAGGTTATTCTCTTGTCTGACACCTACTTTATATACGAACGACAATAAAAATTACACTTACCGACACTATAGAGTAGAAGGACAGTTATGATCACTTTCCAAAATATAACCATTTCCTTTAAATAATTTTAATAACTTGTCAGAATATCAAAACTAATTTAAAAAAAACGAATGCCAAATCAGTTATACTATATAGACGGTTTGATGAATTATGCAAAAGTGTTAAAAAAGAAGAGAAAAAGATTTGAGTTGACGAGTATTCTGATCGGGGCTTTTTTTTTGTCTCCGATTTTTTTTTCTTTCTCATTCTTTATTTTTACCAGTGACAGCAGTAATAAAACTGGTGACGATGAAAAGAAGAGGAAGCACGAGAAATGACGAATGGCGCGAGTAAAAGAAGCTGTTGCACGCACACGCTTTAACTCAAGTAAACTTTTTCTTTTTCTATCTCTTTCTTCTTTTGCTACCCTTTGACGTAGTTACAAATCTTTTATCATTAATTTTATTCGTTCTTTCTTTCTGCAAATTTACCGTCTTCGTTTCGAATCATCTATTGATAGAAAAACTATACAAAATAAAGATGTTAAAATATATTTCAATCTGTTTACTCTCATTACAAATTACAGTTAACAAACGAATTTGATATTTTAGAATAACAACATTCAAACGTTTCTTCAATATTCTATCTACACAAACGTAAATAAAAAATGATATAGTATTGTTTTTATTACGGCATATTTTTATATTAATGGAATTTTTTTTTTTACTACCATGGCGCACCTTTTTTTTTGTTGAGTCAACTATGCCGTGTGCTTTTCTTTCTTTTCTATTTATTTCTCTTTCTATGTATAGAACATGAAATGTACACATATCATCAACGTATAACATAACGACGCAAATCATCATTCGTTATTTGAAGGACAAAATAAATTTATTTTCAACGCACACATATATTCTCTCGATTAATGAAAAGTAAAGAGAATGACGACTAACACGTAATTGTTCATTTTCGAAATAGAATACATTTACATACTAGTAAAAAAAGAAAATGAAATTTATATAATTAATTTTGTTCAAATTTATATATAAATTATTGTTAATGATGTACTGTCTATCATAAGGAAAAACGACATAACTAATCAATTTTTTTCGCATAGAGGCATTGATTTTTTTAAATCACTTTTCATGTTTTGTATAACATGTATATATTTATTGATATATTTGTAATAAAAAATTAACATACATAAATATAACAATTTTATCTTTAAGCCATGGTTTGTCTATCTCAATAAACAATGTCAATTTTGTTTTTTATTTAATATGTTTTGTACGTGTCATGTTGTCAATTATTGTTAAATAAAATAGATCAAAATAGAAGTTTGGCATAACTTAAAAATGAAAAGTATATAATAATCTATCATCTATTAGGAAATCGCAGATGTAAAATTCTATTTTTCTTTTTCATATTTACTTTAAATTACTATTGACAATAATGTCAAACATACAGTTCAACCCATATTTTAATGATGAATTGAAGACTGTTATAATTATTTTCTCTTCATTCTTATTTATAGAAGTATTTCAAGGTTACCTAGATTAGAGAAGGCCGACTGAAAAGCGTTCCGTCCGCTGAGGAAAAAAAAAATTTTCCAAGATTCGGAAGGAATTACCGTTCCCTTTAACCGTTACTTATTTAATAGCGGTTTAGTGTCCTACAACTGGGTCGGGTGCCAACTCACCGGACATGAAAAAAATGTTGGTTCAAGTTCCGAGTATTAAAAAAGTGTCGGTTCGGGTCCAGTGGCGAAAAGTCGTGCCTGTGCAGGATATTGCACTAAATCTCAGTGGATTTTCTCTTGTTTCTTAATCATAAAAAAAAATCCCTTTTATGTCTACCGATCAAGATCTATAAAATTATTGTCTTTGTTTCTCAAACAAACTTTCTATAGTCGGCGTAAAATTTAGAAGAAGAAAATCTATTTAGTCGTCCAAGCGTAACAGTCAAGAAAATCGATGATAAGTTTTTAATAAAGGTTCAAATAAATTTTCAACTATATCATAAAAACTTTGAATTTCTATAAACATGTTTCAAAATTAAATTCTATATTTAACTGCAATAATAATAAATCTTTCATAGAGCATTTCGAAAACATGATTTTTCAAAATAAATTCAAAAGTACTGACACGTTGTCAATTCCAAATCTTTTCTCGTAAATATCAGTTTCAGAAACCTTGACTTTACAAAAATTAATAAGTATCACCAAAGAATAGGAAAAATGCGATGATATGATTGAGTAGACGTGATACTTTTAAATTCAGCGCCGACAAGGTTATTTGCATATAGAAAAATCTTTTTATACTTACGAAATAAGAAAAAAACGCACCAAGATTTAATACTATATAGAATTCACGTAACTATAATCATTCAAAAGAATTGTATAGTAATAAACTAAAAGTTGAAACAACAATACAATTAAATGCATTAATCAAGTCAAGCTTCACTATGTTCCATAGGTTATACTTCTTTTGTTTATCCTCACACTGAGCTTACCTATGTCTATAATTCAAATAGGCAATTCGATTCGTATTATTATACTAATCCTGATTAAAAAATACGAAAATATTTTCTCTGGCATAATTATCTCTTAGTAATCCTCAATATGAAATGCATAATATTACATCTCTCGTTATAACACATTCTTCTAATTTATGATATGCTAAAGCAATTTATACATATATCAAACAACAAGCATGTTGATTATTACGAAAGGAATCATGTAAGAAGAATAGCAAAAAACCGAAGAATTCAAAAAACTATGATGCATATCTGAACTTAAACTCTATTCATTCCTGTTGATCTTTTTTTTTTTTGAGTTAGAGAAAATTGAAGTTTATAAATAGTCAACGGAGCAAAGAGAAATAAAAATAATTCATTTCTTATATTTTCATTATATTTACTATCTTTATTCTCATAAGTTATGTATTATTTGTAAAACAAGCAGACTTTATATTCAAATTGCGATCAACATTCATGACAAAGGTTAGTAAGCAAGCAATACATATCACTTAAATTATTCATTTGATTTTTAATATGTTTATCAAACTTCTAATTTTTGCTATTGAAGTTACTTATATTCAAAATTCAATATTTTAACAAAATGAATATTCGTAAAGTCTATGTATCTATTCAACAAAACTTTATCTAACAGTTATATTATTCAATAATGCATTACATATATACTTGATTGAATAAATTTTCGTTTTTGTCCAATAAATATAGTTGATATCTATTACAAAAGAAAATTAATAATTGTATTCATCTGATACAATCGCATCATTTGATTTCTGTTCACTTATGAATCAAACAAGAAAGTTTAAGTAATAGATTTTTTTTTCGATTCTGGAATTAAATTTGAATTTCATTTGTCAATCATGGTCTAATATCTTGATATGAGTTGATGTTATCAAAACAGGATTGACATATATTGATTTGAAATTATTTATTTTATTTTATCGTAATTAGAATAAAATGATATCTTATTTATTCAAATTTATTTTGCATATGAATATGATAATAAAAACCGAAAAAGAAACAACTATAGAACACACGATATTTAAAAGAAAAAAAAAGAGAAAGAAACTGCAGAAATTGAATAAACCTAGTCTATTATTGTTATACACACAAGACAGAAAATAATGTTCGATGAGCTGTTCGATTGCTACTATTGCCATAAGATTTATTTTTCTATTAGTTTTCATTTTCAGAATAATCATCTGGATATTCTCCTTCATCTTCATAACCTTCAGCAGGTTCTTCTTGAGGTGCTGCTGGTGTCGTTGTTGGTTTTTGTGTTGTTGTTGTTGTTGTTGTTTCAGTCGCTGGTTCTTCTTGATCGCCATCACTACCTCCATATTCACCTTCGCTTTCACTACCGTCATTAGCAGATGGTTGTGGTTGCGGTTGTGGTACTGGCTGAGGTTGTGGTTGTGGTTGAGGTGGATAGTAACCTGGTTGATTATATGGATATTGATTATATGGATCATATTGAGGATATTGTGGTTGGGGTTGAGGTTGAGGTTGGGGTTGTGGTTGAGGTTGTGATCGAGGATAATAACCACCATCAGTTACCTTAAATAAATAAATGAGTTCAATAAAAAAAAAAAAGAAACTATATACTTGTAAATCAATTGAAGCTTGATCATTTGGATTACCAGTACCAGCATTACATTCATATCGACCTGCATCACTATGAGTAGCATCAGGAATTGTAAGTCGTGCAAGTTTACGATTGCCTGGAAGAATTGTACTTTGTACTTTATATGGTAATGGCTAGAATACAAATACAAAACATTCAACATTCTAATAAGCAAAAAAATATCAAAATGTAATTAACCTGATTGCCAGATCGTGACCAACGTGGTTGAGCATATTGACTATAAGGTGAAACAACTTCACAATCAAAATAAACATTTTGTCCAGTTGATGCACGAGCGCCATCATCAGGTCCGAATATGTACACATCAACACGTTGTGGTTGATATTGTGGTGGTTGATATTGCGGTGGTTGATTTTGTGGTGGTTGATATTGAGGTGGTTGATTTTGTGATGGTTGATTATATGGATATTGATTATATGGATAACCTTGTTGTGTTCGAGGATCATAAACTGGTTGTAATGGTGCTTGTGGATATTGAATACCTAAACTTGAAGCATATTCCCATGGTACACATTTTTCACAACATTCTCCAGGTAAAGCAGCTGCTACAAAATCTTTGCCACAATTCGGAGTTTTACAATTACTACGATCACATTTAGAATCTAAATGAAATAAATATATCAATATGATTGGTATGTTGCTTTTTTATACCACTAAGAGCTTGTCGTTTAACTAATCGTTTGACTAATTTAGTTTCTCGACGATTTAATTGACGTGATGATGATGCAAGTAATTTTAAACCACAAGCGACATAAATAGTCGCACATAATAGAATAGATATACAGACAAGTTTCATTCTACAAAAAAAAACCAAAATAGATCAAACCTTGAATTAAAATAAAATGAGTCAAATTTATTTTGTTCGTCTCAAAATGCAAACTAAGATTGAAACGTTTTTTTCTTGTATAGTGACTTTCTTTTTTTTTTTATCTCGCTTATCTCTCATGATGCAAACATGAATAGTAGATGAAATTAAATCCGTTCTTTCTCATGCACTTACTTTTTGTTCTATTCTTAAGAAATGGTATAACCCTCCCTATTTTTTTCTTCTTCTTGTTCTTCTTCATCTACACATTTCAAGATAACTTTTTTTTTCTTTCTTTATTTAACACAAGGCTGGTCGGTACATAAGTCCTATCTATTTCATCATCTTGTTCATTCTTTTCCTTCTTTTTTTTTTCTATAGTTGTGCGGTCAAAGAAAAAGTATTTAGAAAAAAGACGATGTGATGATTAGTGGTGGTATAAACAAAAGTATAAAAGCGGAAGAAGAAAAACAATTTCCGTCAGCAAAATTGATTATTCTACTGTTGTTGTTTTTTTTTTATTGCAAATCGAATGATTTATTTTTTAAATAATAGAATGAATGTAGAAAATCAAACTATTCACACAAATAAAAACTACTAAAGATTTTCTATTTGTTGTTGTATATTATTAGTCACAACATTTTCTAATAAATCAAAATAAAAAAAAGACAAATCTTTCGATGATAAAAATAATTACCTCAATGAGTTAAACTTTACACACTCACCTCTAGTGCAATTGAAGAAACTTAAAGCAGATGCAAAGGACTCGTTTTTTTTTTCTCAATGATTGATGAATTGACTGGAATCAAAATGATTTTTTTTTTCTTCTTTGCTTAGTTTAGATGACCGAATCCATACAGGTATACATATGTATCGTATGTTGTAGGAGAGGAAAAAAAAGAGAGAAAGAGAAAAGGACGTGGATACACACACACACATAATTTCTCACATGTATCGCTAGTGTGAACACATACAATCTGCTTTAGTCGTGTTTTATGACAGAGTGCACCCATAAAGTTATGTAACATTTAATAAAGAAGAAAAGAGTGAAAGAAAAAAAAAGATGGTGTCCCTGAAAAAAAACCAACAATCAAGTCAGATATGTAGAAAGGAAATTGAATCAGTTGTGTGCCATTATCGGATATATAAGTACTAGAATGAATCTCGTTGATTATTCAGATTGAACCCAATAGGAAAAGAAATAGAACGGAAAGACTTTCTAATGAAAGTCCTTTTTTTTTTGTTTTTATGCTGCAACAAATGCATTTTAGGCTAATTAAGTATTAATATGTCCATGATGAATATGCATGATAGAGTCTTTGATCAATTCATTTCTATTTATGCTTCCGAGAGAATTGAATAATGAACAATAAAAAGAAATATATTCCTATATACGAGTCAGATTTTCTTTTCTTTTGACATTGTATTCAAGGATGTCATAAGTTAATGACTATTGAAAAGAGCAAAAGATAAAAATGATGAATGTTTAAACAAGTATTTAAATTAGTAAAATACATAATTTATTACTTTTTTCAATTATATGAAACATTTATTTATTCAAAGAACTAAATAAAAGAAAGTCAATTTTTTTTGTTTAAAATATTAACAGAATAAAGATGTTGTAAAAATGCAATTTGAGAAATCGAAAACCATTTATTACAGTTCCCAGGTGGAAAAAATTTATTAACAATCAGATGTCATAAGATTCATACTATATGATTTGATGAAATTGTATAAATATTTTACAGTTAAATTTAATATTTATTTGACTGTAAGATGCTACTATAAATTTTACATGATTCTTGCACAGTCTGATGATCGAAATTTTCTAAGCTTATAATTTTAGATTTCATTTATACAATTCGTTGAGTAAATTTAAATAAATATTTAAACATTATACTTTTTTTAGAATTGATAATATATTTGCTACGTAGTGATGCTGATCCATTCCAAAAATAATTTAGTCAATTTCATAAAATAATACTAGGTATTCTTTTGTATATTTTATTGCATTTTAATGATCAAATTTCTTTTTTATTTCTCTTAAGCGCATATTTTTTTTTGCATTTAGTTTTTGTAATTTTCATAAATAACTCAGATTAAGGAGAACGGAGCACAAAAACGCGTTTTTCGCTCGGTTCATCACAATCTGGGTATATAAATATGCGAGTAAAGATAAAAGATTTTCTTAAGAAAACAAGATGATAGAAGTCAAAAATCAGATATGCATCATTGTGGGAAATCACACATGAATTGTATAAGATCTGACATCGAGATCATTAGTGGGCTGTAGGTATATATTTTCGGGGACTCGAACTGGGTCTAAACTCGAGCTTTTTTCACCAATACCTGGCATCCTTAGCTATTTATTCGCTACTCTCAGAAAAAAAATTCAGCATACAGTTATCTCTTGTATGTTCTCTCCTTATTTCATGTTTCGTTTAACATAGAATAGATATATGTTGTAGGCAAAATTAGATTTCGACTAGAGATAAATTCACACACAGTTGACTATACAATATACAAGACAAAACATTTTAATCGATTCATTCATATTTGTATAACCACTTAGCTTTGGAGGACATTTTATCATACAAAAAATTTCCATGTCGTGTTTGTTTTTCCGTTCTTCTTTAATCTTTGTTAATTTTTTTTTGTAGTATTAACAGCTCATTGAATAACAATGTAAAATATTTTCCGATTATAAGAATAATTAATCATATTTGGAAAGGATCAATGTATAAAATAAAGTGATGTACAACTATACAAATATATTCAATGATAATTATTCAAATAAACATATTAGTCTTTTTAACATTATCGAGTGAATAAATAACGTGACTAAAATTCAGTATTAGATTTTTGCCATTGAATTTATTACTAAGTGAAACATTATCTTGCGAAAAAAAGATGATAGGTGAATGACAGAAAAAAAAACCAAGCATTATTTCGCTTGCTTTTTCGTCTGCATCAGACTAATAAGTACAAATATATAGCGTTGATAATTGACTTGATTAAATCATATCTGAGACATATTCTATTGAGACGTGTCAAAATCTATCACGCACACAATGTTAGTATTGCATAAAAAAAAAACTTTCTGTGAAAGTCATTTTATCGAAACATGATAATTTGCCAAATTTGTACTGAATTCTCTAGTTGATGAAATGAATTAATTTAATGATCGACTAATGAAACTTAATGTCGATTCATTGATTGATAATTACGATCATATGAAAATAATTGACGATATTTTTCAAGCAAAAAAAACCGAGAAGTTAGTGCACATACAAATGAAAAGCTTATTCAACAAGATGATGAAATTTTTAAGATTCGATCAATAATTGCTGAATTTATTCAGAAACAAGAGACAATATGAAGAATATTTATGTACGAAAAGTGAAATATTCGTACAGTTACACAAGGAATAAATAACGTAGAACAGACATATATTGGAATTCTCGTTCGTTTTATTAGTAATCGATGACAGTTCAACTCAAATTGAAGAATTGTTCATATTTCAATTTGAATTTCCAAATCTTCTAATCCTATAAAAAGCGTTGTTCGTGTCAGAAATGGGAACATCGAGTACTATGGAAAAGTCTCAATTTAATTAGACAATGAAAGTGCCAAGTGAATATATATCTCGTGAAAATTCTATTCAAGTGTTGGTTATGGATTGTCGTGTTGATGCTAAAACTCTTTGCCTGAATAAGTGTACAGAGTCGTCATCATTAACTGTTTCAATATTTCACACGTTTCACTTCACCACAGCATTTTGTTGCTGACATCTATGTTAATTCTCTCCAACCGTTTTCTTTCCTTTCTTCTTCTCTCATCTCTGTTGTTTTAGTATCTTGAACACTTTGATTGAAGATGTTCGAGTGTGACAAGTGACAGCTATTGATGATTGTTTTTTTTTTGATTGCTTATTATATATCTCAGTTGTTTTCTTGAAGCAGATGGCTGATACTTTAGATCAATGCGTGCAAACAGGTCAATGATGTAGAACATCTGTCACCGAGATTTGTTAAAAGAGTTCATATTGAAGTGTGTAAAATATTCTAACAGAAAAATATTGTTCAACGACGATATTTTCCATCACGTTCTCAATGTAGACGATGGAAAACAAGAAGTGAAATTCACAATAATCAATCTTTATCACTTTTATCAATGAGCAACAGTAAAGCATAAGTATTGATGTTTTTAGACATTCATGCGCTCTCTATTATTATATAAATCTCATTGAAAACAAATAACGCTCGTCGCTACGACTCGCTTCACCCTCTGCTGAATTCATTCTATTCACTTTGACAAATATTATCAGATCAATCGTCAGTTTGTGTGATGCTATAGCCAACATCATATGAACAAGTCTTTCAACTTTTGCAATTTGAAAAAGCAACACTGATAATGTCGAGTTTGGAATATGTAGTATTTGCGCGATATTCTCATCATAGATTACATTTCTTTGGCTTTTTATAAGAAATTGGTACAATTTTGAATTAGTCATCTTCACCACAACAATTGCCTCAGCTCTTTCGAAAAATACTCTGTATTTCATTCAAAGCTTTAGCAAGAAAAGACGTGTCTACCTCGTAAATAAATGGCGAGTCGCTCATCAGCGTCTCTCGAGAGCGCCATTTGTGACTCATCGATCCTAGATTCTATCTACTTGATCGAGCTCTTCTGAAAACTATTGTCCAATCTCTAGAAAGCTTCGCGAAAGAAAGGCTCATATCATTCTTAGAAACAAACGGCAAGTCATTCGTCGGCGCTATTCGTGACTTGCCAGCTCCATATTCTATCTTCTTTCGCAACTAATCGTTAAGTTGTGCTATGATTCAATTAAATTGGTTTCTTCTTAACAAATGAATCCATCTATCTGATCGAAAATCAACTTCTTTTTATTTTCCAAACGATCACTGCATATGGATCATCGATCTGTATAAAACTTATGAGAACGAAAGATGCTTTTCGAACAAGATTGC